CTGTACATTAATACATTGGCCAGGACTCAAACCTTGGTCTCCAACATGGAAAGTGAGTGAGTAATCTACCACTGAACCACCAACGCCTCATGACTGCACTGTTGTTGTGTGCCATCAATTCGATTCTGACTCATAGCCACCCTGTATGACAGAGCAGAACTGCCCCCACACATAAGGCTTCCCAGGCTGTAACCTTTTCTCCTGCAGAGTAGATGGTGGGTTCAAACCTAACCATCATGCCACTAAAGCTCCTCATGACTGCACTGTTGTTGTTGTTGTTGTTGTTATGTGCCGTTGAGTCGGACCTGACTCATAGCGACCCCTCCTTGGGTTTCTGAGGTAGTACCATGACGGAAGTAGACTGCCCATCCATGGTTAAGTCAAAGAGAAGATGCCATACATAATCACTAAGTGTATTGTAGCAGTATAAATAAATAGCCTAAAATAGATTCAGTTCTTCATTCACCTTTTTCTCCTGGTTGACAGAACAAAGATTCATAATGAAACGCTTCAGAATCTAGGACAGTGAAATTCATTGCTCCATCCTGTGCCAAGCTATGTGGTTCCCAGGTGAGCTCTGGAAACTACAAAAAATCACCTAACAAGACAAGACAAGTTTAAATGACTTAACTGACATAATGCTTTTTACCATCCATCTAGCCTCAAGAAAGAACTGAAAATGCAATAGAATACCAGCCTGGTATATTCTATCTCCTTAGAAAAATGATCTGTTGAGACTGGGAGATAAAAATGCCCCAGGATGTAGGTCAGCCAAAGTATTGGGGAGCTTTCCATGAAAGATCTCAGATGATCTGGAAAACTAGTACTGAGTCCCTTGAAATAGTTATTTCATAGAGACATTCAAATGTTTTTGAATCCCCCAAATTTGGAGCATCTTTGGTAACTCAAAGGCATGACCAGACAGAATTTACTGATGCATTAAGTCCTTCCTTGCAAAGTGAAGTAAAAAATGAGTTGATCATCTAGGTAATTCAGCCTAAACATCAAGATAATAAAGATACCAGTTAGCTTTACTTAATTCTACCTGTCTGAATTCATTTGTATATTCAGATAGCACCCTCAATCTCATAGTGAATTTACCTGTTCCTCGAAACAGAGAAATTGAACTAAATCATACTTGTAAATGTAATAACAATGGTCCAGAACTGTGTGACAACTCGCAATGTCATCATTCCCTGACTTATCTACAATGATACCTCTGGTGACCTCTTCAATCGGGCCTGCTAGATTCCAAAGAAAATCCTATCCCTCACTTAACATCTATGCTCTAAGTTTTATCTGAAAATCTCACATCCTAAAATAGCTGTGACTGGTGTTAGCAGTAATTTATGAAAATCAACCCTATTGCCGGGAACATAAATGTTAAAAAGGAACATAAACTGTCTCTACAATATTCAATGGGAGCTATTAGGCTTCCTCTACACTAGAAAATTTAAGAGCAATATTAAGTATTTCTCAACACATTAAAGTATATATTCTTTTCCGAGATGAAGTTTTCATTCTGCACTTTGTTTCTCTGGGTCTGGACATTACATCTACAGTTAAAAGGAAGTTAAAGGAAATCAATGACTTTACAAAGTAGAGCTATCACATCAGAAATTTTTTTTTATATGCAATTTCCTTCCACTAAAATTTTATTCAACCTGGGGAGGGGGGGCAATGTTTTTCTTAAACCACTTTAGTCAGAATTGGCTTGAGACTTAAAGATGAATTTGACTTGTAACCTTAAAGACTAGAGAATTAGTGACAACCTCTCCAGTATTCTCTCATGATTCAAAAGCAACAACAAAATCCCTAAACTAAACATAAAGGAGAGTCTATCTTTCTTCTCTCCAAACAAAGGAAATGTTGTGAAAATACAAAATACTTCCATCTAGTACAAACATGGGAGAAAAACAAAAAGAACATTAAGAGAGAACTGGTCACAGGTATATTTCAAATTTAAAACATCCTAAATAAAAAGGTAAAGAAACACACACACATGCATGCATACATTGTTTATTCAAGAAAACATTACCTTCTGATTACTTTTCTTTTACTAAGGTAAGAATACGAACTGGAGCAGAGACAAATTTTAAGCACTTAGATTAAAATCTTTGAGAATGACTGCAATTGCTATATAATGGTCACCCATGGAAATGTATTTTAATGGAATATAAATGGATTAAAGAATACTTTTCTCTTCCAAAAATCCCAAGTATAACACATTGTTTTTAGAAATATATGTCTGATATATCATACAAATCAATTTTCTATTGAACATGGCCTAAAATTACAGTGATTGCTAATTTTGTAGTAGTCCAGTCAGTCTTGCAGCATTCTGCATGCATTGTCAAGTTTCCCATTGCTCATTTTCTAACCAGTAGTTTTGTTTTTAAATGCCCCAAGGCCAGTTACTAAGTCCAAACACAAACTTTGCAAGTAAAAAACTGCAAGCAGGAAGAAATTTTAAACACACATCATCTTCAAGCTTCTAGTGCATGTTGTATGTCCTCTAATTTTAGAGTTTCTTTTCTCTTATACTTACCAGTTTTTGTGATATATTTCTCACTGTGATGAGTCTCAATTTGCAGAAGAATATCCAATTGATTTATCATGAGTCTTCTCATAACTACCATGGTCAGTTTAGCATGAGTATGTTTATCTTATATGTTATGAACTATATCACTTTTTCTAAAAACGGTTGCATTTCAAAGCACATGTTTTGTTAGAATACAAATAAATAAATGTTTGGTAATTATGCTCATATTGGGTAGTAGCAGCAAACTCAGTAAATACTGACTTGAGAATGAAAATATCTTAAGTTTACTCATGTCATGAAAAATTCGTCAATGTCATTCATTACTTTGCAAAGTACTGTGTTTCTCAAATGAAACTAATTTATAAAACTGAAGGAAAATAATAGTCATCTATGGACAAACATTTATTCACTTTTATTTGAAGGTGGACCTTTGGAACAGAATTGTATAAAATCATTATGCCTAGAAGCAGTACAAAATGAAAACATTTGTGGGAAGGTCTTTTCCTTAAGGAACAAAAAAATCTACTTCTGTTTTGGACATTGTAAATGATGTACACGTACACATGAAGCATTATCGGGAAGATGAGTAGTTTAGTAGAGTACTGGGCCATTTAAAAATGCCCAGGACTAAATAACTAAAAGCAAACCAAACCATCCTTGAGGATAAGCAAGCTCTTTTTTGCTAATGTGCTTTAGGTGGTAAATTAGGCACAGGTCCCAGATTTTCTTCTGACAATAAAGATCTTGTTAGTAAGTAGTAAACTTTTCCAAATGAGAAGGTGATAGGAGCTCCTATTTTTTCTACTCATTCAAAAATGTAACCCAATGAAATCTGGAAGATAATTCACTTCCCATTGTTTTAATATTAAAATTTAAATAATTTATTTATGATGAGGTGTAAAGATGTCTCCTGGGAGATATTATAATGATGCATTTTCAAAATAATTACATCATTACTTGTTTGTTAACTACTTACCACCAGGATATTCCTTTGCCATCTCATTAGAGTAAAATTCAGTTAGGTAAACCGCACACTTATATAACACAGATATACTCCTTGGGAAAGTTAGTCCCTTAAAGTTAATTTGATAAACCAGGTCAAATGTAAGAAAAGTGTTTGATATTCCTAACATATTCATATTAGAAATATCAAATTATAGACTGTCACTTTTAAATGACAAGGTAACTTAGAGGTACTTTAAAGTTGGCTGAATGTGATTCACAATAAATCTTGACTCAGTTAGATTTAAATATACTGAAACTCTCCTAGAACTCTGTTCAAACTGTTCAAATAAAACAGATAAAAACTCATAGTTACCCCCTTAATAACTATCTGTATCCTCGTTGCTATGGCAATTTATAACACTGAAAAGTATCACATACAAGATGGTTAGTGCCCACAGTCCTAGAGAAAACCACACAAAACATTAATTCCAATAAGATCAGGATAGAGTCCTTTCCAATGAATACTGTACAGGCTGTACTCAAATTTATTGAAAGATATATCAAAGTTTTTTCTAATTTTAGAAACTTTGTTTTCAACTACTATTCAAATCTACGAGTAAAAGGCAGAATCTTGATTCCTGATGTATTTATATAGCTGAAAAAAAATTGACTAACTTGTATATTCACCTTCACTTCTTTCTCTACAAGCATTGGTTCTAAGCTATTTCCTCTCTGCTAGTTCAAATACAAGCAGTATGAAGTTATTTTAAGTTGCAACTTAAATTTTATGAAGAAAGACATTGGATGTTACATTTGACTGGGTTCTATCCTGCCCCACAATATACATTAAATAAGTCAAATATTTGTTTAAAACATCTCTTTATCCAATTTAGAGCATTTCTCTATCAGTTGGTAGAAAGACTTTTTGATTATAAAATATTACATTGTAGATTTATCATGAAACCAACAGTATGCTTTATCATCACATTTAAAACTGTAAAATTTATAGAAATTTTCCAGGATCCTATAATTGGATTTACTTCTAATTATCATCTATTTGGTACAGTAGTTAACTGTGATAGCGGAATTTGGTTTGCAGTAATCATGTAAATAAGCACGAAGTGAATTAATCTTTATTATTTTCCAAAGGAAATTGCAAAAACTTCACCTGGCAAAATTCTTAGTTTTGATTCTTTTTAACTATTTCACAACTGGTGTAAATTTTAACTGTGTCATTATCTACCCCTACGTCCACCTGAACCTCCACTCCCATTTTAAGTTTCATATTATTTGATGATGGTTGGTTGGTTGGTTTGCTGGTTTTAAAATAACACAAAGTATCTTCATGGATTTTTATGCTAAGCGTCTGCTTAGGACAAAGGTTAACTCCTATCTGAGTCTTGGGTTCAGAAGTTGAGACAAATCCTTATGTGTGGATCTAGAACAGGAGAATTACAAGGGGGTTCTTATGATAGTTGATAACTTTGGGAGAGCATGACTTGAGAAATCTCACCTTTTGAGCTGCTTTCGAGGGACTCTTGTTTTTGCTTCCTTTAGGTCTTCCCCTGGGTCTCTTCGGAGAGGGCTCACCAGTTGGCTCCTAATTTAAGGGGGAAAAAAATGCAGTTGTGGCAAAACGACAAAAAGAAATTGATCCTGACCCTCCAGCGATATCATCTGCATGTGCTGCTCAATGGAGCTATTGGATCACATTCATTTCAAGTATAAATGGATGATGATGATGATGATGATACAGAAAAGGGAAATAACTATACTGTTAATCCAAGAGTTCAAAGAAGAAATTTTATTTGCATATGAAAAGCAAATTCCATTTCAGCTCTGAAAAGGTAATAAAGGCCTGTTAGGCTGCATGTTCTAAGGAAGAAAGCATGCATTTTCAAGGTATACAATTTGCATGATTGTGCATCTGAAAACTCAGAAATAATAAGCATTTTACACGAATAATAATAAGCATTTTACACGAATACCTCTATCCATCGTACTAACATTTTAAATAACAGAAATATGAAGCTAATATCATAAATATTTCAACAATCTTCCATATTAAAAAACTGAATTTTAAATATCTCTGGATCCCCACATTCTAGGTTGATGATAACTCAACCGACACATTAAGTGAAATACTGGAGCAATTATCCAAGTTCTTCATCTCAAAATAACTCCATTCCACCTAAAATCTTCAAATAATTATGGTAAATCTGTAGTGGGAGGTTTTGCTTGAATTATCTAGATAATTGCTTCAATTCTCCACTTCCTTTTGGAGACGCAGGCATGATCTCCAGTCTAAATTTAAATATCTTTTGATAAAAAATAAATATATTTTCTCCAAAATTTTCCTTTGAAAAACTTATGAGGGTGCACTGGAGAAAACTGAAGGGGAAAGTAGTAAGGAGGAATGGAAGTGTCGAGGAAGGAGAAACTAAACCAATAGGTTTAGCAAACCTTTAAATGGCTCCTATGCCAGGCAGTAAATACTCAAGTGGTTAAGAGAATGTGATGATTAATATTCCAGATTCTAAATATTTATCCAGTGAATTGTTAATTCACGTTTCACTCAGATTCAGTGATAAAATGAGACTAATTAACTCGAAATATGTGAAAGTCTTCTATGAAAATTCACATCCCACTGAGAGAAGCGGGAAAGGTTCCCCGAGAGCCTCTGTGGGGACCACTAGCTCCAGTGGGCACATCCGGAGCAAACACTGCGGAGACACATTTTTCTTTCTTTGTGAATTCTGCCTTAACTCAAGGGTAAAACCTCCAATCACCTCCAGACCCCACTACATTTTCTTTTGGATTTTTTTTTTTGGGGGGGGGGGCAGAGAGGGGACAATTAGTAGAGTTAGAGAGAGCTGGGTGGCGGGTGGGAAACAGGAGAGGCAGAGACTTCCTGGGAGGTGTAAAACAGAATCCTAACGCGGTGTTAAGTGTCGCTTGGCAGAGCGGGAAAACTCAGGCGCCTCTAGATTGGCTTGTTTTCTTGGATGATTTCAAAAAGGTACAACCCTCTCAGTTTTTCTAAAACGCACTGGGCAAGCAACATTGCTCAATTTCCCCACTTTGCTCTCGGGCAGGTTTGGGACTCTTTAGGATTATTTTCTAATTGGCCTATTTGCCGTGAAGGAAGAGATTGAAGGCGAAGCAACGAAGGAGACGTTTTAAAGCCCGCGGAAGTGGAGTTTAAATGTTCTCAATAGACACATCCCTTTCCAACCACGTCTGCTGGTGCTTGGAAACTGCCGCAAACAAAACCCCCTGCCCTGGGCGCTGCCTGCAGCTCTGCGAGCGCCCGCTGCACGCTTAATTGGCTGCATCCGCAGACAAAACCCTCCACTCTGCGGGGTCCCAGGCGCCCCTAGATCTTCGCCTCCCCATCCCCAACCACTCACACAAGGAACAAGTTTAATGTCCGCAGCTCTAAGGCGCGGGATCCAGGGGGAAATGACCCTAACTACTGTGCACCCTCTCGGACACCCCTTTCAAAGCGCCCCTAGCCGAGTGAAATAACCACGCTGCGCGGGTACCCGGTCCCCTGCAGTCCCTTCTCAAGGCCACCTCGGTAGCGGCTGCTCTGTGGAGCGCCCGCGCGCCACATTTAAAGAGCCCTCAGAGAATCCGGCGGCCCGGTCCCCACGCGTTCTTTGTCGGGAGGGCGCGAGTCTCGGGCCACCCCGGAGCTTGGAGAGGCGGCCAAGTGGGCGGCTGCGGTGCGCCAAACCCCAGCCCAGAAACAAGCCAGAGAGGCAGGAGAAGGAGCCTCCGGTCCCAGCACTCCTGCCCTTCGAGTTCAGACGGGCCAGCACACCCCTTTCCCCGGCACTTCTTCCCCTCGCTGGCAGTTTCAAAAAAAAGTCTCCGAAAGCGCGGGCAAGTACTGGTTTGTCGGACCCCGGCCGCTTCCAGTCTTCTGGAGACACCGGCCATTCAGGGCTGGGCACAAAAGCCAAAGTCCGAAGACTCACTTCGCCCGATCCCACCTCCCCACCCCCACCCTCACCCGGGCAGCTCGCCGAGACTCCCACCTCCCCACCAGGAATAACTCCGGCGCCCGGGACGCCACCGTCCCCTCCCCCCGCAAGGCCGGCGGGCAGCGTGTGGCGGCGGCTCGGCTCCCGCGCTCGGGTAGCCGCGCGTCTCCCGGGCGGCGCGGGTCCCTCGCAAGGGGGAGCGAAGGTGCGCAGGTGCCCCCACCCCACCCGCGTACTGACTTGCTGCTGTTTCCTGGGTCGGCCGCGTCCTCTCTTCTGAGGCGCTGGGGCGGCAGGTTGTCCCTGGGTTGAAGTGGACTGCTGCCCCGTGCCTTCACCTCGTGCGCTCATCCTGCCTCCTGCCGCCGCCGCCGCCGCCGCCGCCGCTACCGCCGCTACAACTGCTTGGCCTCAGCCGCCAGAAATCTACCCAGCACCTTTCGGGAAACTGGGTGATGGGGGCTAGAGGATGATACAGGATGAGGCAAGAGCTGGTGTGCGGCGAGGGCTGCTGCTGCTTAGGCTGCCGCTGCTGCCACCATCAACACCGGACGTCCAGCGGCTGCCAAAAAGAGAGAAGAGGGGAGGAGGAGAAAGAGAGAAGAGAGAAGAAGGCGCTGCTGGTGGTGGTGGTGGCGGCGGCGACGGGTGGGTGCCGAAAGGTGGAGGTGCTGGTGGAGGTGCTGGTGGAGGTGGATGGAGGTTGCGAACGAAGAGGAAAGCAAAGGAAAAGGAAATCAGGGTTTGAAGTTGGAGAGACTCCTCTCTGCCTTTGGGATTGGGAGTCGCGGGCACCGGGAGCACTTCGGAAGCGGATTGGAAAGGAAAGAAGCTTGGAGTGAATTGTGTTGTCCCTTGAAACGTTAGGCGGGGAAAAAATTCCTCCTCCTCTTCCCCCCCGCTCCACGTTCCCAAAGCGAGAAAGAGAGAGAGAAAAAAAATAGTGCTGTGGGCAGTCGAAAAGCAAAGGGAGGATGGGGAGATTCCGCCAGAATCGGGTCGGGGGCTGCGTGCAGGCCGGGGACAGAGCAGTGGGTGGCACTGCTCCTCCTCGGGTGGCGGGAGCAGACGGCGGCGGCACCGGAGAGTCGGAGGGGGACGGGCTGCTAGCTCCTAAGTTCTGCACTAAGCGCGCGCTGCCCAAGCTGGAAGTTTTCTGAGTTCTTGCCCTAGGATTCAAGTGGGATGTGTGTTGTGTGTGTGTGTGTGTGTACAAGTGTGTGTGTTTGGGGAGGGGGCTGGGAGGAGTGCCCACCTCAAATCGTGGGCGGATAAAGGGGAGGGGGCTGCGCAGGAGGAAAAGTATGAGGAGGAGGGAGGCCGGGCGAACAGCCGAGCCAAGGCGCCTGGCCGCCAGCCAGAGGCAGCGTTCGAAATACAACTGCCTCGGCGGCCGCTGCGCCCCTGTGCCACCCGAAGCCCCGCTCACGTGCTCCCGCCCTGCGGCGGGGTTAAAGGGACAGGCCGGAATCCCCGGCCCACTCGCCGCCGGTCTCGCGCAGCTCGCCGCCCGAGGTCGCTCCTGGGCAGTTGCCCTGGAAAGGCGCGGGAACGTGACTGTCCCAGAGTCGCATTTTGGGATTCGGCCTTTACCTGCGCCTCCATGATGCGGATCCAACACTTTACAGGAAGCGTCTAGCAGCACGGGCGACAGTGTTCTTGTTCCCCAGTGAGTGGAAAGGGAGTGCAGAGGAATGGAAGTAGGACTCTAGCAGCCCTCCCCCGTCTCGGAATGTCCTTATCTCCGAGTGCGCGCGCGCGCGCGCGCGCACACACACACACACACATATATTTACATGCGCATATAGCTGCACGTGCACATTCGGGCTCACAGATGCAAGCATACACATGCAAGCATACGTGCACTTACAAACGCGTGCACGCAACGCGCGCACAAGCATACAGAATGTGTCAGCTTCTTCACCAAGGTTGTCACCTCCCCCCCAAGAGAAAGTTTAAAGGCAATGCGGAATCTGCGCGCGCGCATACACACACACACACACACACACACACAGCGGTTTGGTCTAAACGCCTAGGTTCCAACGCTCCCAGGGTAAATGGGACCTCCAAGGTTCCTAACACCACAACTATACCAACTGCCCAATTCTCCTTTATATTTACCTCGATTTAACCTTCTTCCTAAGAACTCCTTTTCTGCCAAGTCTTAGTTTTATAGCTTGGGCTGTTATGTGAACACTATAATGGCTGCAGTCCGTTTTAAAAAGGTGGAGTACATTTAAAAATGTACCTCTTTTCATCCTTGAATAACCTAAAACCCAGAAAAAAATTAGGTTCAGATTTTCACACATCACACCAAAAATTATTTTGGACTAATTCCAAAATAAAAACTTGAACCAGAGGAAGGATTTTTTTTCCCCCCAAAGTTACAGACCACCGTGGAATAAAAATGCCTACTTTGCAGCCCTAAGCAGAGGGCTAGGCACCGCCAGGTTCGCTGCGCACTTCGAAGGAGGCGCGTGTAAATGTCGATTTCCTTGCGGCTGCTCTGATTGGTCCGCGTTGCCATTTTAAATCCATCTCCAGCTGCCCTTTGCAGGGCTGGGACACTTCGGTGCACGTTGAGTACTGGGCAGGAACCCGGGGTTTCTCTGGGAAAGCTTGGCTATGATGAAGAGGGAGAGCCCCCTCTGGATGGAGCCCAGCAGCTGACTGAGTAGGAAGGGGTTTTACAAGAACCGAAGGTTTTCTGCCAGGGCTTGGCTGAAAGATAGTATCTTCATCAAAGGGATTGGAAATTCATATACTAAAGATTGCAGTGACATTCCTAACTGCCAAGTTTACACACTTTTTATATGATCACATACTTGCATTGTGATGAGCACATTTTACGTACACATACAAAATAGTCTCCTGGGTTTATTTTTGTTTGTTTTGCAAGGAGTAGAGATTAAATTCTGAGGATGAATATAAGCAGAAATCACCGAGTATTTCAGCCAGCCATATACTTGGTACTTTGTTATATACCCCCTCCTTTTTTTTTTTTTTTGCTTGTACACAGAGGCTGGCAAGAAGGGGATTACCAAATTTTATTTTGTATTTCCTGAATCTTAGAGAAGCATAGAAAAATTGGGGATGGGGGATTTCCAACCTTTCCCCCCCCCCCCACGCCAGTCAGGTTTTAATCAGGTAATTTGAATTTATAGCAGGAAGAATATCAAACAAATAATTGCATCAAGTTTTGTTCACATCAGTTTACATATCTTCATAGTTTGGAAGCGCTATCTAATTTTTCCCAGTTTCTGTATGTTTTTAGTAGATAAGACATTAAAATTTGTTTTTATCCTTATATTACTTGAGACTCTTACATTAAAAATGATGTCCTTATATATTGTTTTCACAAAGAATAAATGGTGAGATTTTACTTTCAAAGAAATAGATTTTTTCCCATTTCATTTGAGGGTTTGTCTTTTTTTTTTTTTTTTGGTCCAGTTTAAGTTTCTCAACTGTTCACTTCCTCTCCTTTATCTCACCATATTTTACCCAACCTTTCCAGGCTGAACTCTTATTTCTGATTTGAAAACTTTCCAGATGGTTTCATTCTACACAGAACTGTTTCTTTTCTTCTGCACCTATTATCAAATTCAACAATTAGCACCTTGGTTGTATATCTTAACAAGATTTCTAATTATCTGTGACACACTGATTTAGGTTAGTGTTTAGAAGATCTCAAGTCATTAGAAGGTATAACATTAATTTAGTGGGTTCAAAATATTATTTTTAAAAATTGAAAAGGCTGGAGAATATCACATGTAAATTTTTATTTCAGTTATATGGTACGTGAATATAAAATTTATATCAAGATACACTTTCAGTCTTAAGGAATACTGAAGAACATCTTTTTAATATCTTGGAAATTGAGCTATATCACGAAAGGTGTCTTAGCATTGTGTTATGGCATATTAGGCAGTAACTTTTCTATATTAGTGTACATAACATTACGATTTCACCTTTGATCAATGAAATGTAGTATATATGTAGATTTCTCAGTGTGAGTTATAGAAAATATGTTTAAATGCTTCTGACTTAGACAGTTGGAAAACCTGAGTCTCTTTCCAATCCCACTAAATCCTTTCTGTGATTTTTCATAAACCATTTTCCCTCCCTGTATCTCAGTTTCCTTGTCTCTAAAATAAAATACCAATATAATCTCTGAGGGTTCTTCCAATTTCCAACAGACTATGAAACATATGTAATATCTTGTTGTCTAAATGTTTATTATAACTTGTGTATATTCCCTAGAGACAGGTAGTATTTCTAATACTTCTCCTTTGCACAAGTTGTGTCTAGGTTGTTCAGTTTAGAACAGGTTTTTGGTATTGTTAATTTATTGCTATGACACAGGTACTTTTTATAAAGCTACTCTTTTACAAAACATACCACACAGAATGGGAAAAGCATTACACATTGAAATATCTTCAAAATTATTTTGACTAAAATAAAATGCATCTGTGATGAAGAGATTGAGGTTCTCACATTTTACTTTATCATATTATATTTATACTTCAATACATTAAAAATTTAAAACATGGAATGAGGGATATCATTACTGATGTCAGGTGGATCTAGGCTCAAAGCAAAGAATAACAGAAAGATGTTTACTTGTGTTTTATTGACTATGCAAAAGCATTTGATTGTATGGATCATAACAAATTGTGGATAGCATTGAGAAGAATGGGAATTCCAGAACACTTAATTGTACACATGAGGAACCTGTACATAGCAGGAGGCTGTCGTTCGAACAGAACAAGGGGACACCGCATGGTTTAAAATCAAGAAAAGAGTTGTATCCTTTCACTATGCTTATTCAATCTATATGCTGAGCAGATAATCCAAGAAGCTGGACTATATGAAGAAGAACATGGCACCAGGATTGGAGGAAGACTCGTTAACAACCTGCGATACGCAGACGACACAATTTTGCTCGTTGAAAGTGAGGATGACTTGAAGCACTTACTGATGAAGACTGAAGAATATAGTCTGCAGTATGGATTATACCTCAATATAAAGAAAACAACAATCCTCACAAATGGACCCATAAGCAGTATCATGATGAATGGAGAACAGATTGAAGTTGTCAAAGACTTCACATTGCTTAGTTCCACAATCGACTCTAATGGAAGCAGCAGTCAGGACATCAAACAACATACAGCACTGGTAAATTGGCTGCAAAAGACCTCTTTCAAGTGCTAAAGAGCAAAGATGTCTCCTTGAGGACTAAGGTGTGCCTAACACAAGCCATGGTATTTTCAATTGCCTCGTATGTATGTAAGAGCTGGAAAATGAATAAGGAAGACTGAAGAAAAGTTGATACTTTTGAGTTGTGGTGCTGG